ACAGGGGGATGGGTATGCAGTGCAATAGCGTACTCGCAAACATTACGAAAAACACTCACGTCCAAACAAGTTGGAATGGACATAAAACAATGCTAAACGCATCCCAACACATTATCATTTGGGGTCGTCGGAAAGCATTTGCAATTAATTGTGTCCCGCAATTTCATAGAAGAGGGCGCAAAAAACCCATTAACGAGCGGCAAAGCACAAAGCTTTGAAAAGTAGCAGAAAGTAAAACACCTTTCCTATGGATGTCAAATGTGCATTCAAATACACCCGAAATTGCCTACAATATTCTAAAGGGATGGAGACTTTTAAGTTTTTTGGCGTCGAGATCAACGAATGACAATTACCGTTCGACAAGGTAATGTGTCAATCATCCAACTGATGGTTTAGAACAGCGCCAGTGGAATGAGCGGCATCAACATTACATATAATAGTTTTAAAGAACCCATCAGAAGCAAAACGCGAAGAAAACCATGAATCTTGGTGTAAACAGTGAAGTGTAGGAAGACCTCTGCCATAAAACGGCTGACCTACCAGTCTTGCAGCTGCAGATTGCAAGGAAGAGGACATATATAGTAATTGATCCGAAGGATGGAAGAGCAGCTGATCCACCGCAGTGGTCAAGTTCCCCACGGACTTTAGTGGCTTTGGACATCTTGTTGAGCTAGTCATCACGGCCTCCCAGGCGTAAATGTTCACATAGCCGGATTCCGAGCTGCAATTGATGAGCAAAATATATGCCACCCAGTAAATCAACAAAGTACAATTCAATTCTCTGGAGCCAACATTGCAAAAAAGAATGCTTTTAAGTTATCAAAGTTCAACGTTTTTCCTAGAAACTATCAGTAGAATAAACATGCGTTTTGAATGAATAAAGGAAACTAAGAGTCAATTTAAATTACGATTAAGTGAACGTCGCAGTTTTGTACCATCCCAATCATCGGCACTGCAGCTACTGCTATTTCCATAAAAGTTTATGCTTATAGGAAGAAAGCTTACGAAGGCATGCCAAGATCCGATTAGCAAGTAACGTTGTGTAGTAAATGGGAGTGCAGTCCCTAATTTGAGGGAATGTAATCAAAACTGCAGGACCAATTACACCGTTGCTTGAAAAATAACAATTGTTACGTCTTACCATATATTGGCGCTGGGGAACGGATACACGTAGATGAGGCATGCATAACTGTGTAAAAACACGTATAAACTAATTATGAGGAATGTGCAAACAGTTATCATTTCCATGTGAGGTTCCACTTGAGCGTAAACTATCAGTGTCCAACCACGCACCACAACACAGTAACAACAAAAGTGCCCATTAGAGCGCTAAGGAGACCCTTCTTTCTGCGTTTCGTACATTTTTTCGGAAGTGAACTCATCATTAGTAATATGACCACAGTAAAGTGTAAGCACTAGTATAAAGAACAAAACCTGCCAGCATCCAATATCTGTCCCAACGAAAAAGGAACAAGCTCCATAATTTGAAATTTCGCAGCTCATTGTCATACAGAATATGCTTAGGCCGACCCAAGATCAAAATGAAAATGTAGGACTAAAGACTTGATTCGTTCACCACTAATAAACAGTCTTCCAAAATTAATAAGTGAATTCGAAAGGTTTGAATATCCATAACTTCCATTGAATTTTAAGACCCATTATTTATCGCTGACTTTGGAAAAATAACGCTGAAGGGCTTAATTCATTATGCGATTGCACGCCGCCGAAGTGTAGTTTTCTTCCCCCTACTGAGCATTGCAAGCCATTCTCACATATCTTTCTTTGTTCTAATAAAGTGCGCGGGAGCATCTCACTACCAACGCCTCACGTTTAGATAACTCGTTACGAATAATTCCTTTGTAGAGGCAGAACGCAACTGGACACAAAAATAGTATTTCAGCAAGTGGGAAGTATTTTCATAAAATATGGCCATGATACCAAAATCCGTTTTAAACGCTTGCCAACAGATGTTTCAATTCAAGAGGTTAAGTGAGATCGGAGCAATATTGGAAGCTTTCCATTAATGGCCAAACGAAGCGCGTCGTATTAATGATTAGCAATCCTCTATGAAGAAAACAGGTCCAAAAACAGTGTAAGTGGTTAAGTCGATTATTATTATTTCAGAAAGTGCTTTATAATGTGTGAATTCGTAATATTTGTGACAAAAATATGCCCAATATGCTAAGCATGAGTCCAGTCTTTTATTCCCAAGTCTCGCACCCAGGAAAAACAACGAGCTTTCTGATCAGTCACGACACGTTAATCTTGTGATTAAGTGCAGAGATGGAAGATCACGGAACATCGTCAAGGTCAATGAGCGTTTCCATTAAGATAAGTGCATTTATCAAAAAATGGTAACTAGGCGAAAACAATTTGACTTCTATAGGGGTGAGTTACTGCTATAAAGAATAATAAGGACTATATACGCGCGACGATAAAGAAGACTAGCAATTCGTAGCGCCTCGACACGACTGAGAAGGTAGCATTAGCCTTGGCAATACTTGGGGCAAGGCTCCACCCTTCAGCTACAAATGGCGAAGCAAGTCGATGACCTAAGCACTGATGCATATCCTCTACTACAGTGTACACCGTGGAAGCAATAATGACCGTGTTGGCAAACAAATTAAAGTGTTGCATTAATTAAGCGATGGAAGGCAAAGTGAATCCTCAAATAAAATGTTTCGAAGCGCATACACATCTACAAAGGCAATAGAGCTCTGACAGATCAAGAGCAATATTTTGCAGTGTTTGTAGAAAGGGCATGATAGAGATGGAGGCTAAGTCTTCAAGTATTTTGACTTTCCAACATGACATGAGCACTTCACCAATGGAGTGGTAAGCATCCCTGGCAATCATAAAATATCAGATTTTGCACGACACGGCGCACGTCAGTACCTTGATAGTCAAACGATCCTGCAGTGACGGAACGTTAAGCAAAACATGTGCCCATTATCTGACGTTACATAAGGAATAAGCCCAAGTGCTCATATAACCAAAGATTGCTCGAACATCAAACCTACAACTTCATGGGAAGGCAGAAAAAGATTTTAAGCAATTAAAAACGGTGTTTTGTAGCAATATCTCACCTACCCACAGGCAATAAACTTGGAGTTGTGTGAGGTGGCTAAACTGCAACCGCCTGTGTAACCGTAATCGTTCCACCGACGCATCGGGCGAGCATTGTACCGCAGATCAAACATAAAGACAGATCCATCGCCTGTTCAAAGAGAAAATCGCTCAATTTTCACCAGACCGCTTAATCTCACGGCGTTTAAGGGTGCTATTTTTCCATACCTTTAGGGCAAAATAAAACCCGTTCAAACAAATGCAAGAGTTCTTCCAGAATGTAAAACAAAAGCATTGCTTTCATAGGAAAGAAGTTCAGGTTTAAGTTAGTGGACTCTATGAACGAGACGAGGCGCGTCGATAATTGTGGGATTCAATGAAAGGAATAAAATTTATTCTTCTTGAGAATCGGGATGCACTGAAAGGCAGATGATGTAGCTATTCAGTCAGTGATAGGCGGTTTGCAGACAACTTCACAAACAGCAGACATTTAATTGATGAAAAAACAGCTCAGAGACGAGGTTTAATAAATTACATACACAGAAGGATTTGTCAGTTCACGGTACATAAAGCAATACTTTCCAGGATGAAGCGGCACGAAGTGCTTTTGAAGAGTGGTGAAAGCCGAAGTGCTCACCGACTGGGCAATAAAGGCCGATGCTGAGGCGCCTTTGAAGTGTGAGGATGCCGGTGCTAGTGTGAGAGACTGCGGATGCGTGAGCGTTAGCGTGCTTTAAGATACTTCCTCTAGGGCGCAACCATTTAAGGAAAATTTATTCTTCGTACAGTGGTCAACGAAAGATTGCACGAAAGGTGTTTTACAACGGGCTTTGTTCTATGCCATAAAATTCCGTCACTGACAAGAGAAAACTGCAGTGTTTCTCGACCCAAAACAACAGATTCGAATTTTTAAATCAAAGCTCAAAATGCAAACTTCCCCACCTGAACGCATCTCGAATTTAATCAGAGGAAAAAGTGAAACGACTGAAACTGCCAACTATGGACAAAGTTAACCTAAAAACGATCTTAAAAGTGCATATTTACATCATAGTCGACAACTAATAATTTTACGGCATCCGTTACGGTAATATTACTACATTACAATCTGAGACTATGAGAAAGTATCCCCAAAACAATTACGTCTCGAGGTCCAGTGAGCTTGATCCGAACCAGCTTACCCTGACACAGCTGTTTACATAGCTAACGAAGCAGCTAGAGCTAGTTTTTGAAAAACTGTTAAAGAAAACCTTCGGAAGCAGTTTCAGATTCCGAATTAGTGTTAACCTAATAAAGAAATCACAACTGAAAGAACCGCTAGGGCATCGAAAAAATTAACTCGTGAATACGAAAACTGTGTTCCAACTCTCATTTCATCAGCAAGTAGCTGTCAACGAAACGTTGAAATAATGAGAGAATCGAGAATCGACAATTGGTGAAAAAATCGTTTCCTTTTAATAAGATACGCAGATGTGCCGTTTAAAAAAATGCACAAATGCCTAATATTCAGCTATTACAGAGCAACAAATGCGGTGGAATACAATGATTTCACTGCGGTCAAAATCTGCTCGAGTTGATGCCGTTATAAGTTGTCGGCATGTATGGACTAAAAGTATGTTCACGAGAACTAAACACAACTGTCCCACAATTTTATTTGCTTCTCATACTCCTAAAGGGAGCGTAAGTAGGTTGATAAACCAGCAAAGAGAATTGTCAGTGGGTTTTCACTTTATTTAGACACCTGTGCGCAGTGAGCACTACAGAGACTACCAAGTCAAGCAATTTATCCAGCAAGACCTCAAGACAACGGATTAAGTATACGCCTGGATGAAACAAACACAACAATCATGACTGCGAATGATCAGTAGCGGAAGTGCAAGAAATCCGACCAGTGGTTTTAGCCATTTGGTGACTAGTCGTAATTTCTGCAAGTAATGTCTTGGCATCAAAAATGCGGAAGCATTTACAATCGCTGGATCGTAAAATACCCAGAGCGACCTTAACCGATCAACTTAAGTTGTCGGAAGAGTAGATCTAAATAAAATTTGCTCACGAGGTAAGGTTTTAACGCAGCTAAGGCAAAAGTACTGTAGAACCCAAAAGTAGCAGCATGAAGGCCGAACTCTTAAATGTGCATAACAAGAAGTCTCGATTGAAATATGGCGCCCTCAAAACCCTCCAAAATCGTAACCAGAGATTGGAAAACAGTTTCCTATTGGAGATCAAGTTCACTTTTTAAACCATGCAAGCTGAAGAAGGCAGTAGGGAAAAGCAGTACCGAAATAAGCCAAGTTAAATTACGTCAAAAAGTCATGAATAATTTCGTAAGAATCCCAAAGGCTCACGCTGTTATAAAAATGCTAAGTAAAATTAAAACGCCCCATGAAATTCAATGCCCTCTGACAGGTTTTCTGGCTCATAAAAAGTGAGCATTCAAATACTTGCTGAAGTGATGATCACAAAAAAAGCGATGAGAAAAAGCATTTCAAACCGCGTCTAAAATTACTAACGCTTAACGGAGGGAAAAGCTTCACCAAAGGCTTACAACAGCAGAGGAATGATTTAATGTTCCTCCTAGTCGAATACTAAATGAAAATAATGTAACAAACGCAATCACCGCACTTCAGAAAGTCTCAACGTTAGGGATAGGTGCAACACCAGGCAAGAATTGCTTCTATTCGCCCAGGGCTTTTTACTAGCTGAAAAAAACGCCACAAATCAAAAGACTTCAAGAAAAAGGTGCACAGTGTAAGCTTCAACTACAGTTACAAAATTGCGATGAGTACATTGCTCAAAAGGCTTTGTCGTAGCCAGTGCTTAGAAATGAATCCTTCGCAAATTTAGTCGACGGATAGATGACATGAGACTGAAACGACGGAGAAAACAATTAGACTTAAAATCATCAAAAGTAGGTACAAATTAATAATGAATCCCAGTTACTTGATTTCGATCGGCACATAATGCCTAAAACCATTAATTGCATACGACCAGCATTCCACATCAATTTTATTACAACTATATCAACAAGTACCAGAGCCAGGGGGAAGCACTTTTGGCTGAAGAATTTCACGTATAAATGCTGCATGAGGAGGAAGCGAGCTTACGTCCCGGCAAAAAAGGTGGAAAGATGCATCAGACAAAGCCTGAACTGAAGTTTATTGTGACAATAACTGCATCATGCGATGGATTCGACCTCTTCGATATCGTCTAACCAAGCACCGAAAGAAAGCTTCAAGGAAATATTTCGAAATCATTACAACGAAACAACCAAAATCAACCAATGAATGTGACTGATGAACTGACCAGCGCTAACCGCAGTTTAATAATAAACCATAAAAACCACGGTAGCACATGAAGAATCAGAATGACAAAGCACTCACTCGAGAAGGCATTGAGAATGTCACCATCTTGAGCGAAGCAATGCGACACCACAGTTCCGCTTACACGGGCCGTAGCCGTCTTTTCAAAAGTCTAAAAGGGATTGACAACACAAGCAAGGATTAGATTTCTAGTCTGAAGGTTGCCTTCAATTTATTTGAGAACATTCGCTTCAGGGTTCGTTTCAAACCGTGGCGAAAAGTCCGACTACGAGAGCGAATACTGAAGAAGCTGGTAACGGAATAAATACAAAGAGGCTGTGTGCAGTGACTTATTTTTTTACCAACCCAATGACCTCCACTGATTCCGAAATCGATAAATGGATATGAAACCATTCACAGAGAATGATCGAAAATTTACATTCAGCATATCCCAAACACTTAAGTTTGATAAACTTGAATTCTAAGGAAGCAGATTTCAAGTTCAGTGAATGCTGGGCATGAAAAAAAACATGTAAAGACACAGCACAACTTAACAAAAAAGTGAAAACTGTATTAAGAACTCAGGTCTCGCTAAAAATAACAAACGATTCGATTCGTGCTTACGCGAAGATCAACGAGGTAAACACCTTCAGAGCCAGAAAAGGCAGCGACATCACTGATAGGAGAGATCTGTACAGAATCTATTTTCTCTTCATAATGGGTAGAAAGTGGAACAATGGGATGCGATTCTTTATTACTGCTCAGATCGTATACCTAAAAACATAAACCTGAAGTATAATACAACTTTACTTATATGCCATCAGTAACAAATTCAAACCAAAAAACAGAGGCACCCAAATTGCGATTAAGCTAAGAGAAATAACTTGTACCGAAGCCTCTTACTGTTCGTAAAAAAATCAGACCCTAGGGTAGTTCATACGCGTTTTTCAATGAGCCACGCAGAACAGAGACGGAGCACAAATATGAACCCGGTGGTCGCAAAAGCGACCGACTCGACCTCTACCTGAACAGACTTCCTTCTCCCGCTACGTTTAGCATTATCCGCTGCATCGCCTATATAGGAGTCAATCAAACCTCTTAAAGGGAAAAAAACCTTTAAAGAGTAATCTCGTCCCCTACAAGGAACAAGTGGAAAAAGAAAATTTCCATTCAGGCAAAGCGGTCAAGTCAATGCCGTCTGCGGATACCACGTCCAAATTATTATGCTTCACCTCTAACCTGCGAAGAACTTCGAATTAATATTCCTTTAGTACTCCTTAAATGAGAGAGCTAGACTAACGCTACTTCGGAGCAACACATATCCGTGAAGTGAAAAAGACATACCTTGAAATAATGCCGCCTTCCGGTAAGCACAACCTTTTCACCACGACAGGTGAATTTCGCAGCACTAATCGGAAACTTCTCAAAAACAAAGTCTGCCAGTAAGTGGCTTCCTGAACTCCCTAACTAAAAGCAAACAACCGATATATTAGACTTAGTAATGAGCACCTACGGTGAACAAAGACATGGTGGTATCAACGCTCGTTGTCATAACGACACGATAAGCTCGATTAAATTCAACCGATGTCAGCGAGCCACAGGAAAGTCGCTCCATATTGGCGTCACTTAATCGAGTCATTGCCACATCATTGTCCAAAAACTCATGAACGTCCTCTCGACAAACAGCATAGAGTCTCTCAGTGCTGACTGTGTCCATAGCCACCGATTCATCGGACTTCATATATCGATTGCGTTTTAAATGGGTGCGAAAGTCAAGAACAGCAGGCTGACTAAAAATATATCTACATGGAAGTCGCAACCACCTTAAAATACGCGCAGGCTCACAGTTAGAGAGACTGTCTTCATCGACCCAAGCTGGGCAAAGCGGGACACACACCTCATCCGTTGGATTTTTAACCGACACTCCAACTGACTTCAGCTACATAAACATACAAACTACAAAAACCTTCTTAGGACGTTTTATTAGCTCGAACTCTGGGTCCCCCATTTGTGAGCTCCCCGCCGCCATGATAAAAGCCAACACCACCGCAGGTTTGACAGATCTGACGCACGTGAGACAGTAGTTAAAATGGTCAGCCAATGAAGACGAAGGACTTAAAACAAAATAATGTTAAAAGAAATTGTGGCTCCTGTTTCAAAAAATACAGACCAACTAAAACTATCTACTGTATTTTTATATAATTAATATTTGTTTTTAAAACGCATAGGGAATTAGCAAAATCCCTCGGTACATATTACCAGATACGAATGACTTGAAGGTATAAGTACTTGAAACTAGGAAGCGCATATAATGCTTTGTTTATGTGACCACCTCACAGTCGGCGGTCACACTAAGATTAGTCTAACTCTTGTGCTTGTAAGCTGGCTTATGTGCCATGCTTAGGCCACTTGCTCTTTTCTCTTTGGAATTCATGTATTCAACCTCACTTACTGCCTTCTTCTAACGAGTAGGAAGTCCCGAAATGCTACACCTATGGCAGCGGAAAGCAAACTTGACATTTTTCAACGACTTTCGTTCAAGCACGTGCCGTTGGTTGCCTGTATTTATAGCGTCCCCAGACATCCTGGTCGGTATAACTAGTCAGCAAGTGCAGCTGAATGCATGTAATCCGAATACGGCAAGGCAAGCGGGCCTGAGCATGGCCCAAAGGCCAGCCCACGACTACAAGGGTCAAACAAATCTCAAAGTGACTGCCATACGTCAGGCAGCCACATAAACAAGGCATAGCACTTGTAATGCTTTGTTTATGCGACTATCTAACGTTTGGCGGTCACTTTAGGAATTGTCTGGGCTCTGTACACGTGGGCTGGCCTTCGGGCCACGCTCAGGCCCCATTTCTCCTAT